AATTCTTTTGGTCCGAGTATCAGGATATACTTTAATACTAGCAGTTAAATAAATATAAACCACATTGGTCGGTGTAGAGATATAAATTTTCTTGCCGGCTTTAATAATATTGCCACGCCGCCCAGGCGTGCTTTCTTTGGCAAGTCTATAAGTTGAAATCTGATCCAACTTGCTTGAATTGTAACTCGACACTATATTATAGAGCAGAAAGTCACATCACGATAAATATTAATTTTTGATTGCAGTTCTCTTCATGATTTCTTGTTGCAAATTTAAATTTCATCGTACTAAATTGCAAATATTGTTACAAACGCGACAAACACGCTCCTCTCCCACCCTGCTCATAGTATCATTTTAATTTATCACCCAGAATCTGGGTCACGTGACCAGCCGAAACCAGGGTCTTTCCTTCGCCTCGCGCCGTTCTAAGAAAGACCCTGGGAACGAGGTTGAGTTTATCAGTGGTTTGGACAAATGTAAGTGCAAAGACGCGTACTGATGTAACGTAAAATAATGCATTTATATTTGTAAACATAGTCGTAATTTTCTTTCTATTCTTTATCTTATAGCTTCAGATTATATACATATTTTATGCAAATTTCGTGTTTGTATAATTTAATAATAAGAAAACCAAACCATTGTTGTTGTTTGTCTATTGTCGCCTGCGCCAGCGGTCCAAGCAGAAATAATTGAAAGCTCATTGCATGAAACGATTTTCCAATCGGACTTATTCGGATCCCACTCATGGCAGGCCGCCATATTTTTGAGATCAGTGCCCATAACTATCCACAGGCCCGCGTTTATTGACAATCTTTAGATTCCGCTGAATCTTTCCTTTCACCGAGCGGGATTAATGCTTTCGCTTCCGCCATATCTGGTCGGGGGTTGTCAGAAGCAGATTAATTTTATTATCCAATTCCCCTTTCACACGGCAGCAATTTTCTCCGTTGGGGGATGTGGATCTTTTGTGGAATAACTCAATGTTATGTTTGCCATAAACAGTCATCATATGGTGAGGAACTGAGGCTCCCTTAGCCTATATTTAACTTGGTATTGGGCAAAAATTTAGTTGGCATTTATGTGAATCTTAAACCAGCTATATCGATTTCATCATTATCGCCAAATCGAACACGGCCAGACACCTCTGCGTCACTCTAATTTGCCGTTAAGTTGTTGCGAGCAGCCAGCTTTAAGATGAGAAATAGTACACACGTAAAAATCTCACATCTTGTAACAAGTCTGCCAACAAGCCGTCAAAAAGATATATTCGCACTGCTAATTGTTACAAGTTGTCGACAGGTTTGGAACAACTTGTGGACAACTTGTTACAACCTTGTGGAAATATCAAACTTGTTGCAAGGTTGTTCTGACAAGTCCGTTACATGTTGATGCAACAAGATTGTTACAACATTGTGTTGGCAACCTGGTAACATTCTTGCTATATCATGGCTGTAACAAACTTGTTGGCACAGTGTAATTGTAACAAGGCTGATAATGCCATCAAGCTTGTTACAATTAGTTAACAGCTTGTTCCAAACTTGTTACAACAAACTTGGAACAAGCAGTGCGAGCACAACTTGTTGACAGCTTGTGAACAGACTTGTAACAACTTGTTTGCAGACTTGTTACAAGCTGTGCGTTTTTACGCGTGTAGGATCAAAGTGATCACGCACTTAGCACCTGTACAATAGACTTATAGATGCAAAGCGCAGATATTAAGCAATGCGAAACATATAGTATTTTAAGAAGGGTTTGCGCTGTTCACAATGCTATAGGGCGCAGAAAAATGAGGTGTCCAATCTTCTGCAATTTCCAGTTCAAATTTTCATATTATCAGCGACAGTGGACAAACTTAATATTATAGTACATTCTAATTGTAATAATCATGGTAACCGCAGAGTTGTTTTGAGTGATATGGTATTAAGTATTAATTTAAATTATACCTTAAGATTTTGTATTAATATGAATATCGTGTTCAATAATATATATTAGTACTTTTGCACAAGTGATCATAACAAATCCTACACGTTGATTAGTCAACTTTGACGTAATAAGCTGTTATATTCACCTATATAACAAAACAGAAATTTTCAAAATGGCGGCTACCCGTTTTGTGGAAGTTTACTCACAAAGAAATAAGCGAAATTAAAATAAATTCAGTCTCAAAAAACACAAAAGCTTGTGTAAAAATACTGAAACAATAATTCGCCTCAGTCTCGGTGATTATCGGGGAATATTCACCTCGACTTCGTCTCGGCGACCCGATAATCACTTCGCCTTCGGCGAATAATTGTTAATAATCCTGGTGCTGCAAAGTTAAACGTTTCCTTCGAGTATTCCCGACGCATGAGAGCATGTTCTCTAACGTTTTTCAAAGGAAATTTATATACAACAGTATAAAAAATATAGTTCTAGTTAACGAGAAAGACGTGAATTAGATTCTAACTAAGTCAATTAATCACGGGATCGGGAGTCACAAATAAGGCAAATAATAAATCAGTCAAGAGGGCCTTCACTTTCCAGCATGAGCTCCACCTTTGAATTTACTATATGAGTAAATTCTTAACACGTCCGAATTTACATTATGATAAATTCGCGGCAAATTTTGAATTTATCATAATAATAAATTCTCGGCACCTAACACTAACCCTAAACCCAACCCCCACCCTAAACACTAACCCCTAACCCTAACCCCTAACCCCTAACCACTAATTTTTTAACTTTTTTAAAAATCTAACTTTTCAAACTTTTCTTGCTTTTCAAAACTCTTTTAAAACTTTTTAAAACTTCTTTAATTAATAGCTATTTTTTTTAAAAAATTGAAAAACTCCCCACGCCATCGCGGCCAGCCTCCCTTTTAATGCCATTACATTTATTAGCAAGAAACCTTGTGCAATGCTTGTGGTTTTATAATTAACTCTATTGATAAATTCAAAATGTGTCGCGAATTTATCATAATGATAAATTCGGACGTGTTTAAGAATTTACTCATATAGTAAATTCAAAGGTGGAGCTCATGTTGTCACTTTCACAAATTCCCAAGCGACAAAAGAAGTCAGACTGTAAATCTAGCAAAAAGAACGACATCTCCACGACCACCGAAGAAGGCCAAATAAATTATCAATCTTATTATAAAAATTATCGTGATGTAAATACCTAAATAGCGATTCTTAATTGAAGTGCTATTCCCAATTCTCAGCTTCATCTCCATGGACAATAGACTAGAATTGGTTATTTATTATTGTCTGGCCAAAGGCAGTGATCATCACGCTTCCATTCAGTTTAACGTTTGAGGGGATTTTCACCCATCTGGCATAGCACTATAACTCGGGGATTATCGCTCCTACGGCATTCGTCTCTCCTAGCGGTTCTCAAGTTATATACGCTGGCTGGATGGAAACACAATTAAGGCTATAATGAGACTTTCGGTTTACCAGCGTCTAAAAGAGAATGTAATGGTTCACTTCACCCTGACACCATTCTCTCATAATAGTTTGGCGTGTATTCAATTTATTTTCGGCTGCCTTTTCATTTGATACGTGCTTGCATCATTAAATGTATTTAAAGGACATATTATCATATGTTTTCTGTTTTTCGAACGCAATAAAGGACTTTTACAAGGAAATGCCGCTTAGCATGTCGTGATCTTCCGACATACTTCCTACGCCCATGCATGCATACTCATTTACCCACGCTGTAATGTGTTATTATAAAATTCTGGCTCCCTTGCAATTTCCGCTTGATCAATATCTTATATCGTCACTTAAATATATAAAGATTTTAAAACGTGCCTAACAACATGTTTAGCAGTGCGGTATATGGGTAAAAAAGTTCTCAATCAAAAGATTTTAGTTCATGAAGACAACTATCCTCCCTCAAGTCTAAAGTTCTTTCAGGTACACTCAAAATTGTTACTTAATCTTTGATCAAACATGCTTATGTATGAAAGGAGCGAGTGCTGTTATTATATAAGTATTAACAGAAACTGCCTACCCAGATTGTAAATTTTTCTGTCAAGGAATATGTTTATTGGATGCAATCATTTCTTGAAATACACCTAGTAGTCTAGACGAGCTTTTGAAGAATTTTTGTAAATGGAATTTCAAGCGGAAGGTTATATAAAATTTTGCACCTAACAAAGAGCAGTTGGCAAAAACGCAACTGGTAGAGATCAAACCGGCGGCCCTGCCATTTCGTTCCAGCGCTGTAACAACCTGAGGTACAGAGGCTGATTGTCGAGCTCTAATCACAAGTGTAATGGGTGATGCCTGTATAAAGTATTGGCAAATATATTGACCTATCTTGTGCGGGTATCACCCATATAATTATGCAAGAAAGTGTCATTAAAGAGCTCGACCATGCACTGTAGCAAGTTCTGCCGAACGGGATGTCCAAAAAAATCTGTACGTGTATTTATACTTGGTGGAGCTTTTCGACCGGAATCATTACAGTACCTAGGCAAGGAGACTACGGTCAGGGAAATTTTGAAACCTCAGGCCCCAGGAATGGCAAAATGCTATATTCTTCTGCATGATTATAGTTTTCAAAATTGATGGGATATTAATTTTTAATGTCAATATAAGCAAAACGTGCTGAACTTCAAACTTCGATTTTTCTTATTCATACCATTTAATTCTCTTTAATTTAGTGTTATAACTTAAGCAATGAATATACCTTTATATATATTATATATTCGTTTGACGATTCAGAAACGCATAACTTCAGCGCCAATGCAATGGTGTGATCGTCGAAGGTTAACAGTTGGGTGCTTATCTATAGCGTGCTCAGTTGAGGCATGAACTACCAGAAATTTTTCATTCCAATGTCTCCTACAGGGTTCAATGCCATCCTGGATATAAGGATAAAAACATTGCTGCTGCAATCTTAAAAATCAAATAGAAAAAAATGGAGCAGTAGCTGTGTTGTAATTTTAGTACAATGACAAATTTTATTGTAGGCTAAACATTTGTTGTATTTTACACAACACAGCAGTCCATATGCTGTGATCACAGAAACTTTGATAGTGTAAGCTAGCTTTTAAACTCGTCAGTTTTGAGAACGTGTTGCGTAACTTACAAAAGCATAAAGTATCGTATATCAACGACGAATTTAAACCCCAATGCAACAATGCCACATTGGTCTAGTGTATGTCTCTCCAACATGGCGGTTAGTAGGCACATACCAAAGATTAATGCATATAACACTTATCGTCAAAAATATGCATGCTGATAATAATTCAACAGTGTACGAAAATAAATAAAATTTCTAAAATTTCTAAAATAAATAAAATTTTCTCGGCACCAAATCCACCGTACTCGATAACTCAAATGGTGAAACCTCACCCTCGTCCCCAGTACTAGTGTGTTCTTCGTGATGGCGCGCGAGAAAAGAGACTGAACCTGCTAAATACTGTTCAAAACTCGGGTGTGAGTTTGTTGCAATAAATATGATTGGTTTCCACAAATCACTTCCTGTAATTAAGCCCTATGATTGGTTGCATGATTTTTTAATCAGCAATTTCGTAACAATAATTTGTTTACAGTAAAATGCATGTTTCGCCAAGTCGCGAAGTTTGTTCTAGCGAATATTTCCCAATGTTTAGCTTAATATCAGGCACAATATATAATGGATATCGTGGTGTGAATAAATATAGACGCCATTTTGGTGCATCAAATTTGAAGCAGCGTCAGTTCCCATCAATGTCGAAAGTATGGATATAAATATATACATATACTGTATTATCAAACAAACCACTTACGTTTCTGACATTTTCGTTCCTCTCAAAGACGATATGTTTTCCAGAGAGTCTCAATGTTTCCTGAGACGAAGTCGAGGGAAACATTGAGATTCGAGAACAAAAATCAACATTCAACAAAAACTCTATAGAGTAAATGAGCTAGTTTAAAATTAAAAGAAACCTACTTAAACGGTTTCAGCAGCATATCCTGTTGCCTGTTGTGTATTTTTCTTCTCTTTTACATTCTTTAATATCTGAACACAAACTTGGAAAATCGTAGTTTCTAATTATGCGAATTGTGCCGCCAGTTTGTTTATTTATATATAACGTAGCCGGTCGGGGCGGACAACAATTTTTCACTTGTTGCCTGGCGGGATACATTGCATTTATCTAAAGCCAAGTGACCAGTTCATAGGCGTACGGACTTATAAATTTAGGGTGGGCCATGTCGGTCAGCCCGCGACGAACGCCGAAGGCGCAAGAACTCCTAGGGGGGTCGGGGGGCCTGCGCCACAGGGAAATTTTGAAAAGTGGAGTCTCTAAAATGCCATTTCCGCTGTTTTATGAAATAAGACCAAGTCTGGTGACTATTTCAATATCATAAATGTAACTTCTACCAAAACCTAACCTAATCTCCCCAACAAGTTTATCCCGTGTATTTGTATACTGTCAAAAGAAATGTGAGGCACATGTACCAGTCACTCCTTTGGCCTAAAATGTCAATGATTCTGTCCATATCATTCTCGAGGGTTCTATTAGTATATGCTAGTTCCATACAGAGAAAGAGAAACGGTACTCCGGCGTTCTTGACCATTTGTGGAACGAAGGTACGTCTTCACCCTTCGTAACCCGCTGAAAAAGCTTTCTGCAGAACATGACGTAGGTTGGATCGTTGCCAAGATGGAACTTGCTAATTTGTGGAAAACTGGAGTCCATCCCTTGAAATGCCAGCGTATGAGTACCGTACATCTGGCCTACCTCTGCCGTATTCAGCGTGCACCTAGAATAAGCTCATCGTATAAAGCATATGTCCGAATACGCACAAAATAAGCATGAATAAGCCAGTGGCGTAGCCAGAACGATAATTGGGGGGGGGGGCATATTCATATATTCGTGTTCGCATACCATAAAAACAATTGATTTCAAAAGATATTAATAAAGCAGAACACGAATATATGAATATCCCCCCCCCCAATTATCGTTCTGGCTACGCCACTGGAATAAGCATGCTTAAAAAATGTCTCGCTGGGCCTCGCCGTATTCCAGCGTATACCACCGTACGTATTGAAACGTATACAACCTATACCTGACGTACTCCTAGGGTATGTCAGCGTCTACCAGCATATTAGTGATAGTTTTCATACGCTGGCATACGCTAGTACGATATGCAATAATGTGACAAGGCCTTAACCGACTTAATATATTTATATACCATCCTACACTATTTAGGCAATTTGATATAAAAGACGCCTGCTCAGGCGTTCACACTGGCCTGAAAATAACGAGATACGTGCTATGGTGCAAAAGGCAGGAATACAAATCTTAAACCGCAAGCAAATTTTATGGACTTTTTAAAAAATAAAAGACCTTTTCGGGAGACGTAATGGAGATCGATGCACGTGCAAATCATGCCGACCTACAGAATCGATTTCCGGTTTTTCCTAACAGCGCGTTGTTTTCATGTGCGTTCCATGGGCCGCGCTAAGAATATAAATATTCTGTACTGTAAATAACGAAATAAAAGATGAAAATCTCAAGACACAAGCTTGAAAATAACACTATAAATAGTGTTTTCGATTCTGGTTCCAATAATATTATCACGAAAAAGATATGTCCAAAGGGGCCGAAGTTATGTCCGGCAAAATGAATAGCTAGTTTACATTGTTTGTTGTATTATGAAATATGATACTATACTTGTATTAAAATTCGCGTCGAACTAATGTTATTGTAAATGAGTAGACTTGCCACAAGTCGACCTCGAACGAAATGCGTTTCTTCGAGGTCGACTTGTGGCAAGTCTAGCAAATGAGAACCATACAAATGATACAATAATGGTTCCAGTTCTTGTTGGTATTTTGAACGCACGCTTTATCTTTAGTATAGCTACCACAAAGCTTTTCGCTCGATTATATTTCGTGGAGTACTAAATATTATATTTTGTGGTTTTCGAGTCATTACACAAAGAAAAACACATTAATTCAACACGCAAGAAAGTCCAGAGTACGACGCAACGTAAAATACATAGGAAACCGGCACAATTCTTTGAAAATTCAACGAAACTGTGTAAAATATAGTTTGATCTCTCTGTGAAAAGCCGCCATTGCAGTTCGGAATTGTGCGCGTGCGTACAAGTGTATAGGCTAATAAACGAAAAATGTACCACAAGCATGGCATGAGTCGGCTATTACGTACATATATACGAGCTTATTACTATACTATCTAAATCATGGAACCGAGGGATTCGATGGCATTTTGGCTTAATGGTTGCACCCTGAGCCTGCGATGAGCTAACGCAAACTCGATTTCTCAACTACGAAAAAAACAGAAAAGGGGGGATTTAAGACACTTGGCCTTACAGGCCAGTGCCC